GTGTGTGTGTGTGTGTGTGTGTGTGTGTGTGTGTGCTGCACTGTTTGTAGTTTGAGCTGCTATGCTTGTGCTTGCAAAGTGTCTGAGTGTGTTTATAGTTTAAGCGATTTGTGTACATCTTGTCTGTGTGTATGCCTGTGAATGAAGTGGGTTGTATAGCCCATGGCATGCAGAAACAGTCTGTCAGGCACTGAGGAAAATATATGACTCAGGGAGCATCAGCACAGGGGTGGGGTTAAAGATAGTGAGCTAATGTATGGATGGGTGACTAATTAAAGGATAAACCTAAAGTACTGACAAGGTCTTGGGTGACTATAAAATCCTCCAGGGCAGCTACTATGGTATATTTGTAAAAGCTCTTGGAGAACTGAGCTTAATTCTTCTAAAAAAAAGACATCCTGTCGTTGTTTGTTTGATAGAAAAGAGTGCTGGCTGACAATTTGAATTAGCTGAGAATGAACTTATTGTTTTGTCTTTGTGTCTTTTGTCTAGATTGGCCATTACAGTCTCCCAGAGCCTAGGTTGGCATCTTCACATCTCATTTTGATGAACATTAAGCCAACTGGCTATGCAATGAGATTTGCTAAAAACATATCTAAAACAATTAACTGGTTAGTGATCAGATCAAATTTATTTTCTATCTACTGACTGATAAATAATCACTCACGCACTGTAATATAACCTACTTCTATACTACAAAATAGAACAGTACAGAGCAGTCATCCAGTAGCATTCATGAGATGAAGGATTTTTTGGTGGGGATTAAATTGAATCAAATGGGAACAAAAACAAAAAATCAAAGCCAGCAATTTATTTCTCAAAAGGGAATTTTTTTTCACATACTTCACAGCATCAGCCACAACATGAGACCACCTGCCTATTACTGTACACACCGCCTTTGTGCTGCCAGAAAATGTCAGACCCAGCAGGGCATGTACTCTTGACCGCTGAGAGTTTCTTGTGATGTCTGGTATCAGAACATTGGCGGTGGATTTCTGTGGGTTGCGGGAATTGGAATGTGATCTGGGGAGTTTGCAGGCTGGGTTGGTGCTTTGGGCTCTTAGTACTGTTCCTTGGGCTGTTTTTGAGCAGCTTTTGCAGTTGCCGAAGGGTACTGCTCTGCTAAGGGAGGCTGCTGCCATTGGGGAGTGCCTTTGCAGGTAAGGGGGTTTGAGGTTAATTGAAGGGGCTGGCACATGCCAAAGAAAGACAAATCAGAAGCAGGATCCAGTTCTAAGCAAAGCAAAATGATTTTAAACCACTTCATCATCAGTGGTCTTAGAGTAATGGCTGATCCGTGTATGTCTGCTGTCCCTAAGTCCCTATAGTTACTACACTATTATTCAGAGTAGAAGAGTACAGGACAGTACAGAATAATAAAGTGACATAGATTTATGGTGTCTCCCTACTCGTTATTCATGCATAGTTTTCAAAAAAATGAACTTGGAAATTAATTAATGAGATGAATATGAAGTGGAGAACCACAGCTCACCAGTTTTCCATTCACTGTATTCATGGATTCAGCAATAAAGTTGCTGTGTTGGCTAATGTAAAGCCATGTCCACTGCAGGGCCCTTAAACAGACATATGCAAAGCGCTATTTGCTCGACTTTATACCTTGGTCAGTTTAACTCACCTGCTTTTACAGCGAAAGAAACAGCCGTCCTTTAAATGTAGCTTTATCTTAATAATATAAATTGAGATGGGTGTAAACGGTGATACTGATTTCATTTTTCATGGATAGGAATCATGTGTTTTTTTATTTAAAAAAAAGGGGGAAAAAAGCTTTCATTTGTTTTAGATCATCTATTGAAGGCTCTAGTAACCAGAATCTGATTAAACACTATTAAAATGACCACTGAGCAGTTACTCCTCCACAAGCAGAAATCAGCAGATTGCGTATGATATCATCAACGATGGAAACGTGAAAACCATGTGCTAATTTTTCTTCTGTCGCCTCTCAGCTCCTGCCAGCAGGAGAAGCATATAGGTTCCTGAGCTTTCTTTGGGTTGCGTACGGGAGAAGAGAACCTCTATACTACCGGACAGCACTCACCTCTGTCCCGGGGGCTCCGCGAATTCACCGAATCCCGTCGCCCCCTTCCCCCTCGGCGTGGTCGTGCGTGCTGCTCCAGTTTTGCGGTGCACCGTCCCTTTAATCCATCTCCAGAGTCACCCCGAAATCCAAAACCTTCACTAATATTTAGAGAGAGCTCCGCCGTGAGGCTATTCTGGGATCATAAGAGGTTGGAGGAATGATGGAAGTAAGTGAGGAGACCTACAGAGAAGGAGCAGGGATGGCGAAAGAGAAGAGAGAGAGAGAGAGGAGGGTTGCTGATGGTGGAAAGTCCAATTTGCCGCACTTGCTGGTAACGCGTTCCTTTCCTTTAAATTTCCTGGCTTTGAATAAAGTGAGAGATTCACGTGCGTCCACCCGGTTCCTCCCCTTTATTTGCCCATACAGGTTCCCCCTTTCCTACAAAATACAAAACAGTAACAAGTAAGAAATTCCCCCCAAAAATTAAAAAAATAAAATCTGATTTTAAATGCACAGCATCCGTCACACGGTTTTCGGGTTACGCAGTCAGCCTCACAGAGCGCACATACACACACAAAGGCGTGGGGGGCGAGCAGGGGTGTGGAGGAGGGGAGGTGGGGGTACAGGGGGAGGAGAATCATGGTGTGTGCGCTTACCATGGGGGGAGGAGACAGTCTGGTCCACACACTTGCTTCTATCTCCGCTGAATTCCTGTTACGGGGCTACCGCCGTAAGGCGACCAAGACAAAGGGGTATATTTTGGTATGTGTACGTGTGCAGTGTGTGAGAGGAGCACACGAAACTTGCGCATGTGTGCGTAAAAGTGAGGGGGCGGTTTAGGAGATAACCTCTAATCTATTAGAACGAGAACGTTTCACAAACAAATATGATTAAGGCTCAGCATCAGCTACGCCCCGCGCTTCTGTAAATGCCATCAGAGTCATTTGTTGGCCCAGAGATTTTTCGGTCATCGCCCAAGGATTGTGGCTCAGTTGTGTCCGCCTTTGTTTACTCTAAAGGGTGTGGCAGGCGGATGACCACCGTGGTGCATTTAAATTCCCCTGAAGGAACCGGTGCGGTGAGGACCGTGAACACGCGCTCACGCACTTTGTGATAGCTCTACCGACACCTCTGGTTTACTGACTCATCATGAATGACATTGCGGCAATTAACATCAAAGACTCGGCTGTGCGTACACACGTGCGTGCATGTGTTGTGTCGGTGGCACACGTGCTTGCAAAAGATGCTCTCTAAGAGATCTGTAGTCTTCTGCTCTCACGGTTATCAGTTCTCAGTGGAAGTGAAAACTGAACTTAACCATCCACACCCACAGCACCCACACACCTTTCCTAATTTAAAGAAAAAAAACATTTTATTCCACGTCTGGCAGGTCAATAATTAAGTGTGATAAATTCAGGGACACTGGCATCCCATATGTTAATATCGTGGCAGACTAATTTGAGTAGGTGCAGTTCAGGAAGTCTCCTGCTGACCAGCCTCCAGTGGCTTTACACTCATTCAGATATTTGCACCCCCTCCACTCACCCCTTCTCTCTCAATCTCTGTCATTTGGCTGTGTGACACTGCTTGGTGCTAGATGAATGGGGGCGCCCCATTTAGTGTTTATCCTGTCTCCAGTTGCCAGGGAGTTTCTCTGGTTCTCATGGGGTACTCCCCCGTCTCCGCCTCCATCCCCTGCGCCCCTCCTGTTCCCCCCTGCCCTGCCTGAAGCCCCCACCTAAACAGCATCGCACACAAACCATGCAACCAACCCACCAATAATACCCAAGGGCTGGTCACAGCTGGCAGGAGCTAATAAACTCATCACTCACACTCTCTGGCTCCTATTTACCCACTACACAAAGCACTAAAAGGAGGGGGGTGGAGGTGCTTGAACGCTCTTTTCTGCTTCCCACAGACACTTACACTTTTCTCAAGGTGGTGAATTTTGATAATTATGAACACAGTTATAGAATTTGTGAAAGCCACACATCACCACAATTGCATTTTCTCTAGTGGAGTTAGTGCGCTATCAGCACTCTTTACCATTTACCCCAGTTGGATGGTAATTGATTGCTGGAGGGGATGTACAATGGGGATTCTTAAGTTTGATTAAAATTTTCCTCGACTGGTGTTCACACATGTGACCCAATTATTTCGTCTGAGCGAAAGGGCAACCATCTCTGTTCAGATACAAACATGTATGTGCACATCCAGACCCAGACTTGCAGCGCATGTTTACATGGCTAATGCATGCTAATTCTTGCAGTGCGCACATAGCATACACATGTTACAGTAAATGCAGACTTTCATGTTGATCAAGTGCACATGATAGATATTAATTCTATCATTGCATGCCAGCACATTTACCCATCCATCCATGCAAACCCCAACTTTACAACTCGATTCTGATTGATTTTTTTAAACAACCTATTCAGCTTACCCTGCGTGCTTTGAAGACACCTGACACAGAGGCCATGCTTATTTTATTATAAGGGAGAATCCAACCATGTGAGTGCAGAAAATGAAAGATTGATCTTCACTTTATCCAGCGTGGTTGACGTAGTGGAACTAAATCAGCGCCTGCCCCCATCCATCTATCTATCATCTCCTTCAACCAACACACAAGTTGTTATTGCTCTTCTGTGTTACACAGTTGTGGTATCAATATCAGCTTTGGCTTCACTAAGTGTCAGGTTTCATATAAGCACTCAATTTTCAGTCTCAAATAGCAAACGGAATTTTAAAAGAATATTAATATAGCTCTGATTGTGTTCCCTTGTAATTTGAAAGACAATCAATAGAGAAATCTGAAACAGTGATTTGTTTTGGCATGTTATGTAGGCCGGCACTTCATGGGGTGGTTGATGTTTGGCTGACTAGCAAATGAACATGGGAATGCAGAGATAATCACATAATATAGGATGCACTCTCACTGAAAGTGGCTTTTCTTTTCCCAAAAGTAAATAAGTGCATGTCTCTGTCACACTGTCAACATAATGTCCTCAGTGGTAAGTCATTCTGTGCAGGTAATGCCACTCCACAGTCTATGCTCTTGTGCTTAAGGACAGCTTCAAGTGCCACTGTGTGGCTAAGAGCTGTCATTACATGACAAGTTAAACAAAGCCATTATACCCTGAGGTGAAGTAGTGCTTAAACCTTTACTTGAGTAGCCTCAGGAACCCTGGCATTTGTTTGACAAGTCTATTAGGTTGTGATACCATTGATTCTGCGCTCCTTTTGTGTTTCCAGACTGCACTTTACTTTGATAGGGCTCGTGGCAGATAAGAGGAGGATTTCACTGTGTTATTGGCTCCAGCATGTTAAAATGTGATAAGGATATTGATTGAGGGCTTACAAAGTGTTCACATTTTATCAACATTTCGACAAGCCAAAAATCATAATCACCCACAATTCTCACACAAATCAAATGCTTAAGTGCTCCATGGTAATAATTTGCTATAGCAGAGGCACAGTGGTTAGGATTTGTTCAGTTAGTTTGATATTCTGCAGCTTGACTTTGACTCTGCAGTTCTATGCTGTCAGTGTTCGTTCTTCTTAATGCATTTGTTGTTGTGACTAAAATGGCCTTCTGCTACTAACATTTTAACAGTTCTGTCAAGAGACCAGATACACCTCAAAACGTCATTGTTTAATGGAGGACTGGGAACACTGTGGCACATTAAAAGGAAAGAGTGCAGGTTTACTGCTTTGTTTACCACAGTGGCAGACAGCCCAGACTATCAGTACAGAAAGAAAGATGGATCTCCTGACCATTAAACTAAAGGGTATAAAAAGTCCTCTGAGATAAAAATTTTGGTCAGTAAAAACTGTCCAAAAAGTAACAATATATATAGGATTCTACTTATTTTTTGTCCATAAATGATGCCAAACAGACCAACAATCCTTTAAGAACCTGCTAATCATTTACTGGGTCATGCTTACTCACACTGGATAGTTGTTCTAAAATAAAAAGAATTGGTAGGAAACACATGTTGAGTCTGATGTGCTGCTATGCTCTTACACCTTTAGAGAAAATGCTGTTTCCTGATTACAAAGTTTTTTTTTTATTAACATTTTTGGTTCTGAACTTTTTAATCGCTTTGACACTTGTGACAGGACGAAGCAGCTTTATCTGTAAAAAGCATTAAATAATAAAAACAATTAAATACGGCTGACTAAGTTCAAATCCATTAAAGCAACTTGCTTACAGTGTTTACTGCTGTTTCCTGTCCTTAAATAATAAGAAAAGCTCGACATTTTTTGCTATCCTTTGTTTCCATTCAAAATATGAAATAATGCCAGAAAAATAAGTATATAAATGTTTATTTCAAAACATGAGGATGACCATTTATGGTAAAATTCAATAATATGCCCTATATAATTTTTATGACGGGTAACTTTAAAAGTATTTCTTTAAATATCCAGTACAACAAGCTCTTTCTCAATAAAGATTTAAAATGTTTTTTTTCCTCATAGACACCATGGGATGTGAACACAACCACTTCACACCACACCAGATTTTGAAAAATTTAAATGTACATCAGTACCATCATCAGCCATGTTAACTTTCACTGCTATCAATTTTTTCTTAAACTTGCTGTCACATCCCCAGTGCTTGCTTAAAGAACTGAGAGACACACAAGACTGACTATCCCAATACAGTTAGGTGTCGTTACATTGTATAGTGCTGGAGCGAGTTCGTAAAACCTTATTTCCCAGATCCTCTGCTCTCCATGAGAACTGCATGGCAATATTCAGTTTCTGTCTGCCATTGTTTCTTCAGAAGTTAATTGCTTAAATTCATCTGTTTGTCATTTTGCTGGAATAAAACCTGAATCCACACACGCGCCAGTGTCCATAGCCGCAGGAAGCAGGGATTCAGTGCCATCCAGTGGTGGACTGAGTAACTGAAAGCGAGTCCCACATGCAGCCAGTTTCTGAGGAACCTCAGATCTTCGTAGCTCCCAATGGCTGATTTAAAGCATGGAACTTAATTTACGTTATAGAAAAAAAGTGGAGAAGAAAATGTGTAAAAGCATACATCTATTTCAAAGATATGTTAAAAAGATGAAATCTCACCTATCAGATCTGCAGGTACTGAGTAAATTGCAATCCACACTCAGTGTTTTTTACATGATTGTTTTAGTAATGAAAAATAGTGGATATATTTATTCCAAACCCATACCCCAGACACACGATTCAGAAAATTAAAGGGGTTTTTGATTTAGTATTGCACTTTTATAAAGGTGGTGTAGTCACGTGAGGCAGCTTATAAAAAAAGATGCTAAAAACTCAGCAGAGGCTGAGATGAACAGCTCTAGCATTGGCCAAACTAGAAAAACACAACACTAGAACCCGCATTGTCCTGACTGCATCTTTTTAATAGACCTTCCGTGGCCTTAAGAGCTAATATTTGTGGTACAAGCTTTGCTGAAGCTGAAATCCCTTATGTCTTTTAATCACTGGGTCAGGGGAAAGTCACCTTTTTTTAACTAAACTTTTCAGGATAGTTGGGTTTAATGGCTTTAAACTATTTCACTCTGCAGACTTTCAAATTATTGCAAATTCAAAAACAGTTTGTTTTTTTAAAGTTACTAGCAGAGGAGAATTACCATCTCACAAAGTGACGTATTGTAACAGGAGAGAAGCATATAAAAATATCCAAAAAGAGTATTTGACTCGTTGGGTATATCTACTGCAGAACAACATAAGCAAAGATGCAAAGCGTCAATGCACGTAAGGCTTGCTTCAGTTTCATGGGATCTGGATTGTTGCCCCAAAAGAGAATTGTTTTGGGATTGTGCAACACTTTTATTTTCATCATTCATAATTTTAGGAAATTATTATATTGGTTAATTGAAATATGCTAATTTGTTTCTTTTTATTATCCTATGTATTGGATGTGTATGTGGATTCATTCAATTTAGTTAAAGTTAATTGTGATTTTTCTGTGCTTTTGCAATTATCCATATGTGCTTGTAGGCCTTTTCAGCCAGCACAACACACCACATTTTTGATTTATTATAGTTCCTACAGCGATTCCTCATGTGACCTACTGTTTTCCACAGTAAGCACCGTGGTTTCTGGATTCCCATTTCAGTTTGTCGGATCTGGTATGTCGGGATATTAATGGGGTTATGTTCTGCTTTTTATTTAAATATTACATTGCTTAATTAATATTTCATGGATGACATCAGCTCTTCACTTGCAAAAAAATATTTTTAGTTGCATTTTTAAGTAAGTGTGGAAATAATTCTCAGCATGAAAATTATTAGGTTGCAGTAAGTAACATTGTGAGTAAACACGTACTGTTATAGTTCAGCAAACGCCACATAAATGTAACCCATACCAATAAAGCCATCTTCCCGCGGCTATGCAAGCAATACCTCACTAACCCTGTTGCAGTCCTACAGGTCAGGAGTTAATCAAGTCTCACTGCTTACAGTCGACTGGTTAGCATTTGTCCTCTCCAAAGTGTTCAGTGCACGTGATAGGTTAGCCTTCTGTCTGTCCAGGCTAGAAGTATTCCGTGTTTGGATAGTTGTATTTCCAGCACCTTGTTGGTTGGCTCGACTTCGCTCCAAACTAGTGGACGTGCGCGACTGGACAGTCCTTTCTCCTGTCAAAGTATTAACAGGGCGCACTTGGTTGGCTCTGCCTCTGTCCAAACTGTTAACTGTGTTTAACTGGCTGCTTCTCCCATGCTCCACAGTCCCAGGCCCACCTGACTGGTTAGCCCGCCCAGTCTGCTGATTATTCAGGGTTTGCAGCTGGCTGGTCCTGTCTCTGTCAGGGAGCCTGGGCTGAGTGGAGCTACTTCTGTCTGTATTAATAGTTTGTATCCTCTGTCTGTCCCTGTCCCTATCAAGACTAGTATCCCTGCGTACCAGTCCACTCCTCTCTCTCTCCAGACTGCTCTGGATCTCAGCTCTCCTAGCCAGAGCCTCTCTCAGCTGGGTGCGGAATATCTCGATCTTTGCCTGCAACTCCTGGAGCTCCCCTTCCCATAAGCTGGTCTGAGCACCTCTGGTTCCCATGGGAGACAGCACCAAACCTGTGGAAGCCAGAGTCGAGACAGGGCCCCCGTTGACATGGAGGCTAATCTGTGGAGGAGAAGTAAAACTCCCCAGGTTGCCAAGCCCCAACCCTCCGAGGCCAAGTCCAGGACGGCCAACCATCCCAGGCCTGCCGCGCACTGAGGCGGTGTGTGTGCGCAGGCGGTAGCTGTGAAGCGTTTCCAGGTCAAAGTGCACGCGTTTCTCCTTGGGTTCATTGGATGGTGAGGAGTTGCCCGTGTCCCCAGCTGACGTGGGAGGGGATGGTGGAGGAGGCTGATGCTGTTTCCTGTGTAGGGTGCAGTTCTCCGAGATACAAGAGGGGCTGGTGAAAGAGAGAAAGATCACAGCAAAGGGAATACACAGAATCAGATATGCTGTACTGCAATGCAAGGACTTTTATATATAATGTAGGATAATTATACCCAGTAAACCAAATGTAGAGTGTAGTGATATTATCTGACTAAACACTACATCTTTTGTCTCAATTATCATTTATCTGTTAGGGCTTCTTTTTTAAATTAAATAAAAGATTTAAACCCATTACAGGACTTTCACAAAAAAAATATCTCCTTCACAATTAATTTTGTTATCAAGTCATAGAAATGTAATAATCTGCCACAGTAGCACGAAGGGTCTAACCTGCTTCTAATATGATTATTTAAGAAAAAAAATAGTTTGACGTTTGGGCAAAATATGCTTATTCATTTTCTAGCAGAGGGTTAGATGATGAGATTGATAAGACTCTAGACTGTACATATGAAATTGTCAGCAGCTGCCAAGCTCAGATTAAACAAGATATAACGGCTTTAATTACTGAGCTTTGCTGAGAGGTGCTGGTAAGTAGATTTTATTGCATTTGGACAGAGTCTGTCCATTTCCAGTCTTTATGGCTTTATTTTTAGCTTGCTGCTTCATATTATTGTTATTAACCAACTTAAAGCAAGAAAACAAATAAACATTTGCCTCCCAAAAATAAAAAGTCACGCTCTCTTTTTTTATTTTTATGAAGTAAAATAATCAGTTTTTGCGCTTCCAACAACAAAGTGACATCTGTTAAACACACAAACAGAAGAAAATAGACAACATAGTGGTGCATTAATCACTTAGTGAATTCATTACTTTTGATCAAGGCCGGCCATTTCCTTTCCAACATCCTCATATGTGGTGTGCAGGGCTCTGTGAATTTTCTGCAAGGAGAGAAGATGATTAGTAACATGGAATCTGTTAAGACGCCATCAGATTTGAAATAAATCAGGAGAGATGAATTTGCAAGGGTTATTATTCTATCCAGCTGCAGAGAACATCTGTGACAGCCGTTCCTGCTATAGTGCACTTTTGAATAATTTACTCTAATAATTGCAATTCAGTGAGAGACGGTTCCTTTCTGCTTAAAGTTAACGCGTCAGTTGCTTGAGGCCTTTTTCATTTAAGTATCTAAATGCTTAGGTTAGCATGATCAAAAAAAACAACTTTAAAGTGTGACTATGCTTTAATATTTCCTGCGGGAAATGAGGCTTATTCTAAAGATAAGAATAATATTGAGGGTCTGACACAGATGCCAACGCCTCATAGCGGAGCTTCTTTTGTGATGAATGCTAGAGGCTGCCCGCGAGTGGTTGCCCTTTTAGAGAGATGTAGCAAACGAATATGAGCAATATGAGCAGTCTTGATATTTACACTGCTAGTTCCATTATTCACTCAAAAAATGTTGCCACTGGCACCTCATTTGGTAATGGCCAGAGCCTCATAAAAAAAACAAAATATGACCTTTAAATATTCAATTTGTTGTTTCTTTGGTGGATGTTGTCACAAACACACATTTGCTGTCAGAAACTTCCTGCAATTCACATTTATACACTGACTTTGTGAAGAAAATATAACATATTTGAATTTTATGTAAAATAACGAATATTTAAAATTATTTTGCAGATGAAATCTGTATAAATAGCTTCATATAACGATCTGTCTCTTCATCTGTCTGAGAAAAGGCTAAACAAACAAAGGCACGAATGCATAATGTGTCTTTATAAATCAATTAATAAAACACTGCCAGTGGTAAGATTTATTAACTTTTTACTTACAAATTGACTATTCAAGAACCTAATTTGTATTAATTAATGTAATTAACTTAATGGAAAGACATGTTTAATTGAATATGTCTGCTATCACAGACAATTCAGCTTTAGGAACATTTAGTCTAATTGTTGACTTTTTAATTTGTAACCAGTAGAGGGCGTTGGTTATCTGCAAGAAAAGTGTGAGCTCCAGGGGGTAAGGATGTCTCACCAACAGCAATATACATATGAGCACACATGCATATAGCCTTTGACTGTGCTCCTATGGGTGTCTTCGGTGTGCACGAGAGATCATGTGAGTTTTAAATGTCTGAGCATAACTCTTTGTGCTCAAGTGCATGGCATGTCTTGCTAGCATGAAAGATGGTGTGGCCTTATGTTTACTCACCTGGCTGGTGTGCAGCCAGTACTGAAGTGTGTGGCTACGCCGGAGGCGAGGGATGACCAGGTGATAGAAAGTGTGTTCACCTGCCAAGGTCAGCAAGGCTCCACCTACCCCCATGCATAACAACACGAACAGGCCTGAGAAATGCTGGATTCCCATCTGTAGAGTCTGAGGGGGCGGTGACAGAAAGAGAGCATGAAAGAAAGAGAGTGAGGGAGAAGTTGGGGGAGTGACACAGATTACTGAAGACTTAAGCCGACAGAGAGGAAAATCAGAGATTGATGATTTATATTTACATAATTACCATTTAGGCCACTTTTTGTAAACGAGCACTTGATATTCTGCTGTTGTGTATCTAGTTTGGCCGTGTAAGCCCATAAGAATATTAGTCAAGAGAAGAGGACAACAGCGTAAAAGACATTTTTGGAAAGAAAAGGGTGTAGAGCAGCGCGACAGCAGAGAATACGGGGGAGGCATAAAAGAGAGTAATAGGAAGAAACAGCAGTTAGTACAGAGATGGTAAAAAGAGACGATGGTTAATTGAAGAGCAGCTTTTCCCTATTTGATTTGCCTAAACCCACCCTGACATAATGTCTATCTCGTATGAGGCATTCATCGGCCTGGAGGAAGTGGAAGAGGCAGGGACAAGAGCAATGCTCTCTAATCATGTTTCCTCCACCCGACTCATTTCTGCACTGTCTCTGATGGCAATTAGCCCCATGCTGACACCACAAATTCATCAGTGACAACACTGACCTCCTTTTGCTCCTAATCCAGAGGGCAGGTTCACACCAACGCCTACATTGTTAGAAAGTAGCCAGCTCTCTGCGCTTCAAATGGGATGAACAGTAATAGCTTTCCGATGCAGGGTGAAGTTAAGGTTTTCGTTTCACTGGAGAAACCTATGACTGCATAATTGCATTTGTTGCTATATTATGGTTTAACTTTGAAGTGGGATTTAAAAGAGATGGCCAAAGGGAGTTGAATAGCTTCTCGATTCGCAAACAAGAGATGTAGATACGGACATTTTGCTCTGTCTAGAGATTTCCAGTCCTTTAAAAGGAGTGCAAGTAAAAGGGAGGGCAAGAACTCAGAGTACTGTAGCACCCACACGATACAAATAAGAATCGACACTCAGACAGTGCGTGCCTGTAACTCTGGTTAAGGTCAGTAAATAGGCCCGAGTTTATGTGATTGTATGTCTTTGTTTGTGTGTGTGTGTGTGTGTGTGTGTGTGTGTGTGTGTGTGTGTGTGTGTGTGTGTGTGTGTGTGTGTGTGTGAAATTGTCTGTCAGTGTATGTGTGCCTAGCTGGCAGGCAATCCAGTCTGTGTCCCAAAGGGAGACTCATTTATAGAAGTACAGCAGCAGAAGGCTTTGCTTAACACACAACACACGTACACAATTCATGAACACACACTCCCACGGATGACTTACCTCAGTGACTGCAAAGACTCTCTTTCCGCAGGGTACAACCTTATACCATTTGTCGTGTAGCATGTCCATGAAACCGTCAGACTTGTAGCGACTGACGAACTCTGACACATTACGGGTTAGAGGAGAACCCTGGGGAAGGCCAATACCATAGCCTGAAAGAGGACACAGACACAGATGTAAATACGTGTGCTAAAGGTAACCAACCTGAGAGCTACAGTCATGCCTCAGGAAGATAGTGTCTAACTCGGTGTTGTTTTTTTTTGCAGTAAAACCAAAGTCAGACAGTTGCACTTTGCCAAAGGGCAGATGGCCTCTGGAAAAAGAAGATTTACGGTTTACAGTCTTCAGATTGAATCATAAATAAAC